AAATGCTGTGCATGAGCAAGGTGTTCACAGGCTTGTGCTCTTCTAGCTGTATTATTTATGGTATTCTCCCACGTCATTCCTACTGGTTGACTGGAACTATATAAACTGGGATCAGAATGCTAATTGGCAGGCTCTCACCACTTAAACTAGCTAGTGATTTATTTGTTACCAGCCAGTTACAGTTCCATCTGTTGCGAGCTGACCTACCAGCAGTCTGCTTGGTGTTGTATAGGTTTGTAACACAGTCCCCACTGGGAAGATCTTACAGGCTGCATTTATTCACTTAAGATACTGTGTTTTTTAAAAACTGAAGCAGGGTGAGAGGCAGGGAAAGGTTTATGTTCGTCTTTATGCACTTTTTTTTTTTTACCAGTCACTTTTCAGACCTCTTCCTGTTTTTGTATTGAAAAGTTTGTGTGTGTCTTTTTGAAGATTTGATGACTGCCATAAAACTTCATAAATTGGGCAGATTCCTGGGTTTGGTGGTTTTGCTGTTTTGGAGGTGGGTGTTTGGGTTTTTGTTGTTTGTGATAGCCATGCCTAATTTAGTGAAATTTCACTGTTGTTGGAGCTTTTGCTGTCCTAAATGTTGGTGTCTCAGACCTGGTTTATATTTCAAATACTGTCAGAGGATACAAATTACCTTTTGTTCCTTGTCTACTGTGTAGAGTGATTCCCTGAGCCCAGAGTTAAGCAAAGTGCTCTTGACCCTGGTAGTCATACAAAGAATACTCATCAATACACATCATGCAGGTAGTTTTCTTTTTTTCTTGCCTTTGTTCCGAATGTTTCATCTGTGTCATCTCCATTTTGAGAGAATCTAGAGTTGGACACCGAAGCCTTTGTTCTGTCTGCAAGTCTAGTGTTTGGATGGGAAGATGTTTGCTGTGTTTCTTCTGTTCTTGAAAGTCCAGTTGTTACAAATGACTGGTCAATGAAGGGAGTGTAAAGATGGGGAAAACTCATTTATTTATTTTAAGTCTATCTGGTGTAATTCAGAACACAAAATCATACCAAGAGAGATCAGTTTAATAAAAGAATATGTGGTAACCTCTGTGAATTAAGAAATTTGGTGGGAGGCTGACTAGTAAAACTACCACTAGCCCCCTTCTGTGATTTTTAGAGTGGAGACCTAGCCAAATGGGACCTGCTGAGCCATGTCATGTTTATTTAGGAGTAAATACAGCAATGAGCAAAGCAGGGAGGGAGAGGCCAAGAGATGAACTCAGATTAATTTGATTATATTTTTTAAGATGCTTGGGTATTAGGGGAGTTGGCAGGTAAAAGAGTCAATGTGTTTTGCAGACTGATCATTTCTAAGTGAATGTAATTTTGTGCCCTTCAGCAGTGACTATCATGTTAATACCGGCAGCTTTTAAGCAGGCTGCTTTAAACTCACATCTGTTCTCTGTCCCTGATGAAAAATAAAGCCAGAAGATAACCCAGGTGTACACCAAGCCAGAGTGGTGCTTCTGGACCCCTCAGTATTGCTAAAGCTCATAGATTTAGCAAGAAATATTTCTTGAATACTGAATTGTAGTTTGTCCACCTCAAGTTTAAAAATAAATAAATAAATAAATATTTCTAGCCTGTCAAAGGGTGGCAGCACCACCGTGGCAGTGGCATAATTCCCCTGCAGGTATAAATTTTGAAAAATGCTGCCTGAGAGCATTTTGGT